ATAAAAAGAAATTCAGAAGGCGTAACGGCATTCACCCGGGGTGGGTTGAGCCGGCTTTAATATTGGAGTTTCATGAGAATTTGGAATTCGCAAGTGGTCCCCAGCCCACATGTATAGCACATGAGATTTGATTATAATGGTGAAGGTTTCGTGCAGGACCATCCATACATTTTGAAGGGCCGATTACAGAGACCTGATGCACTACGTGCCACAAGGTTCCCAAACGGCCCTCCGCATTAGAATGAGTGCCATACAAGGCTGGAGAATCTAGGCCCGTCCTGTCAAACATGCGAACTGCATACCGCACAAATGATCAGTTGGGTCATTTAGCAGCCAAAATTGCAGTTTTTATCCTTTAGAAATGATAGGATTTAAGAAAATAAATTACATGTTTTTTTAGATTAAGATTTATTTTAATAGAATGAAAAATAAGAATACCATTTATTGCATAAATTTATTTAATATAATCTTAATATCATCAACAAATTTAATTTAATACGGTACTAAGCTATTATTTTAAAAGTTGTAGCCAATATTTTATATTCTTGGGTGGGGGTGAGAAAATAGCGTGGGAACAAATTCTCTGTAGTAGCCATGCCACCAGCCATGACAACAGGATAAAAATGGCAGCTCATTAACAGCTGTAAACATAAAACTTTCTTTTAAAATTTTAAAATTTTCTGCTTTCAAAGGTAAGATGTTAGCCAAAAGATTTTAGAGGCGTTATCAAAATTTCTTTATCTCTTTTTTACTGTTAGCTGTAGTTTAAATGTAACAGAAATTTTTCACATTACGCATCATCAGTTTTGAAAATTAGTTTTTTTTCTCTTTCCATTACAATTCTAAAATGGCTAGTGCTCGTCCAGCTGAGATAAAAGGAAACTGAATGAAGAAAATTGTGTGTTTTAAGACAATTAGGAATTACGGTTTTTTTGCACAACGGTGAATGAAAAGATATATTGTTTAATTTGTAACAACATCGCCACACCTAAAGGATACAACCCGAAAAGACATTATGAAAAAAAAAAAACATCTATGATAAATATGAAAGCCCAATTCACGTTTCAAAACTCAAAGAATTGACCGTCTTGGGAATGACAATAAACTACATCCACGTCCAGGTTAAGACTATAAACTACATCCAAAAGCAAGACCTCTGACCAGAAGGCTTTGAGAAGCCCGGAACCACCTCTTAATCGTTGGTGTTCCCAGGTCTACCCTAACCTGGGGTGGTAGCACCTGTTAGGGTCCCAGCTATGGGCAAATAGTTAACCCTGAAACTGAGGTAAAAAGCATTACGAAAGTGTAAAAATAGGTTTAATACGAGAAAAAACTTTGAAAAAAAAATATTACCTGAAATAAATTTTTGAAGAAAAAAAAACAAACTATTAGCAATAATACATTTTTTAAATAATATTACAAGCTATACATTTTTGAAGAAAAAAATATTTTCAGAAACAGATTTTTGACAAAACAAAATATTACCAGAAAAAAAAATTGTTGGCATTGAATGACTCATTGAGGTTGATATGCCGTAAAACAAAACAACCCAAATCAAACCATTCAAAGGATTAACTACTAACAGGACACATCAAAAGACCTCTTTTACGAAAATTCAGCAACAAAGGTATTTTCCGTTATTGCAAGCAATGGACTCAGTCGAATGAAGAGTGGTAAATCTTACAGTGAAGATTTCATAAAGCAGTGCCTTCTAAGAGCAGATGAAATTGCATGTCTAGAGAAAACACATTTTTTTACGGACATTTCATTAATCAGGAACACTGTTGCTAAACGGATACATAAAAAGTCAAGCGATTTCAAACAACAGTTGAAGGCTGTATCATCAACGTTTGAAGATTTTTCTCTTGCTATTGCTGAGACCATTGGCATCACTGGAATAACAAAGCTTGCAATCTTCATCAGAGCCTGTGACAATGAATGTAATATTTATGATAAAAACAGATTGAACTGGTGCTACAGCAAACAAGGGTGGCTTTGAGGGAGTTGAGCAGGTTCTGCTTGAGTATAATTTTTTAGTTGAGTAAACTTGCATGCTTATCTACTGACGATGTTGCGAAAATGGTTGGCAAACATAATGGTGCTGCTGCCAAGCTAGAAAGAAAACTGGAAAACTTGCATCCAGATTCATTATTTAGACATTCTCACAGTATTATCATTCGGAACAAATTTGTGTTCAAAGATTTTAAAATTACATCCTGTGCTTAGCTTGGTCGCAAAGACAGTGAACTATATCAGAGGTTGTTCTCCTAACGACCGTCCGTCCAGTCAGTTGTTGAAAGATGTGTATAATCAGTTCACCGATGTTCCATTTTACATAGAAGTCCGCTGGTTGCCATATAACAAAATGCTGTAACGATTCTATTCGTTCAGACTAGAAATAATTATGCTTTTAGAGATGAAAGATCAAAACACAGATGAAAACAAAAAGATGAAATAAAATATGAAAATTGGCTCCAAGATCTGGCTTTTGCTGTGGATATGACTGCACAATTAATTTAAAATTTCAAGGTAGAAACAAACTTATCACATCAAGAGCTCCATTACAAAACTAAGCTCATGGAAGTCACAATTGTCAAATTTATATTTGCTCCACTTTCAAAGAGCTGAAAAACATTAGCAATACCGAGAATGTACTTAGCTTTGCTATGTATGACATTCACCTGAAATTACTGTCAAAGGAATTGCAGAAAATATTTAGTGATTTATAATCTTTTGAACATCAGTTTACATTATTCTCTGCATCATTCACCTTTGATGTCGCCAGGACAAAAGATAGCCTGCAGATAGAAATATTAGAAACGCAGTCGAACTCTGCACTCAGAACAAAGAAGGAATACATGGGTTCTGTTCATACCTTCCTGAAAAGTTTAAAAACTTCGGTAAGTTTGTCAAAGATTATTGTGATAATTGTTTCCACTTTTCTCTGTGAACACTTATTTTCCTTCAGGAAATCAACAAAATGTCTCAGAGAACAAGGCTCAACATTTGTCAGCAAAAAAAAGCATCAAAATTTGTTATCTCTGATCAAAGTCAGAACTGCACAGACGTTTCAGCAATACATTCTAAAAATTGTCAGCAAAAAGTGGTGTTAAGTTTCACGAAAAACTAAAACTGACTGAATATTGGCAAATAAATATTCAGTTTTGAATTGTTGCAACTTTTGTACAATGTATATTTTGCTGTTGCAAACTGCAAGTACATGTTGCTTAAAATTTATTTTTATCAAATTAATTCATTATTTTGTATACATGAATCATGCTAAATATTTGTATGTATATAGTGTGTTTCTAAATTTAAGTAGCAAAAATATTCTGCAATAAATTTTCATTAAATGACTCCAATTAGTTTTAATGTGCATAATTAGTTGTCGTGTGTGACACTCATGACAACATATATGGGATCATGTGACACTGAGGGCATCCTCAGTTTGATATGACTGGTCTAATCTATCCTGCTATTTAATCGGTAACTGTTGCGGGTACGGACGGATTCATGCCTTTACTACGAACCTTAGTGAGAAATTTAAGACAAAGGGTAGGAAAAATTTTGAACTTCACTCACCGATTCGATTTTCTGTCCGATAACCTTGATCCTAACCGCATATATATATATATATATATATATATATATATATATATATATATATATGATTAATGCAAATATAAAATTTGTGATTTAGAAGATTGATGTTATAACCAGAGTTACGTAGTTGAATCTTTTTGTAACCTTTCGGTTCACTCGTCACTGGCTATCAGTTTTCTCAGCTTCGTATATTTATATTAAGTTAAAAATAATTTATACTCTTTTTATTTGTTTTAGGTTGATATTTTCTTATTTTCCGTATATGTTCATGTGCGTTTGTGTGCATATGTGTATGCATATGTACGCATTTGACAGGTCAACACCGAGGGGAAAATATACTGATTCATTCTTGAACGTAATCTTCAGGCCATATGCGTTGTGTTTTAGCTCGTCTATTTATATATGTTAGTGAATGGTGCATCATGGGTAACAAGATGTATTATATAATTTTAACGGTTATTTGGTAAGCAGTAATGATTATATTTTGGGATTATCGTAGAGGCTATTGAGCGAAATAATCGCAGATACAAATGTTGTTATTTGTAGATATTTTACAGAGTTGTTATAAAGAATAATATATGACTTCCTAGAGATAATATAATGTTAAGTATTTTTCTTCTATGTCAAGACGTAAGGAAACATGGCTCTCCACAATTTCCTCTCCTTTGTGGTTCTTAATAAATGTTTTTATGTTAACCCACCTAAAACTTGCTCCTCTATCCTCTTTTTAATCTTTGAGGAGATTATTAAGCATTCACTGCCATATAGGTGGAATGATATTGCACAAAATTTTTCTTTGTTGATAACGAAATTTCGTCTATTTTTTAATACTTTGCTGAGCTTTCAGAATGCCTTTTTCGATAACACAAAGCCCCTTGCAGGTGTTTAAATTATTATACTTGTTTAATTTTGGTATCTCCAGTTTGTAATTTTCATGTTGGGCTGTTCCTTTTGCTAACAATCCCATGTATTCTGTTTTCTTGCAATTGATATTTAGTCCTTCCGTCTCTCTTTGCTCACTGCTTTCTATGAGAGTCTTTTTAGTTTTCTTTCTGTCTCTAGTCGATTGAATTGATAGATGACCAATCAGTAACAACTGAAAATTGTACACAAAAAAGATTAGAGTTTTATTATTTACCGCATTTCTTTCTTTTTTTTTATTCAATCCTTCTTCATTTTCATCTCTAAAATTCTTTTATGGAGGTCGATTTTTTATTCTGCCCTTACTTTATCCCACTGCTCTTTTACTTACCAATTCCATTTCACTTAGGCCCTTTATTCGCGAGATCGGAAAAGGTTATTCTGAACTGCCAGAGCAATGAAATGACTATATAGGCTTCAATTGGCTGCCGATAAAAAGGACTTGTCAATAAGACTTCTGGGATAAATTGGATCTTTTAGTGCAAAAAGCAATAAAATGTGCAGCAACTTCTCGAAACCTTCGAAGTGTCCTTTCCAAATTCAGCTTCAATTTTCTTTGGCGATAAGGGGAAAAATGATAAATTTAAATGCTTTTTCTCTCTCAAATAAATGACCATTCGTAGAAGAGAAAGAAAGTAAGGAACGAAAGGGCAGTCAAGAAAGATGAAGGCCATGAAGGAAGAAAAAACAACAGAATGAAGAAAGAACAAAACGGATGGAAATGAGAACAAATGTAAAAAGGATAAATAAATAAGGAAAGGAAGGAAGAAAAAGAAATAATGCAGAAAAAATAAAGAAAGAAAAGAAAAGAGAGAATGAAAGGAGAAAGGAAAAGAAAGAAAAACGGAGAAAGAAAAATGGAGGAAGGAAATTGGGATTAAAAATATGGATGCGAGGACAAAAATAGAAAAATGGAAAGAACAATGAATGAATAAAAGAAAAGGAAGGAAAGAAAGCAGGAATAAAGAAAGGAAGGAAGAAAGAAAGAAATGAGGGAAGGTAGAATAAAAGGAAGGAAGGAAGGAAGGAAGGATGAACAGAAAATGATAGAAAGAATGAAAATGGGTGGAAAGAAATGAGTAAATGAGAAGGAATATAAAAAGAGCAAATAAATAAATAAATAAAGAAAGAAAGAAAGAAAGAAAGAAAGAAGCAGAAAAGAAGTGAAAGAAAGAAATAAAAAAGAGAAAGAAGGAAGAGGAAAAAGAAAGGAAGGGAATACGGAGAAAGGAATAAAAAGAGTAAAACATACGAATGCGTGAAAAAGATAGAAAGAAAGGAAGACAATGTATCAATGAAATAAAAGAGAGGAAGAAAAAAGTGAGGAAGGAATGAAAAAAAAAAGAAAATATTGAATGGAAGAAGTCAACGGAATACGGAGATGAGGATAATGAATGAAAGAAAGACATTTACGGAAGGAAATGAAGCATAAACGGATAATTAAAAAGACATGGTCAGATAAAAGGAGAAGGAAAGGCCAAAGAAAAAGAACGAAAGAAAGAAATAAAAGGACGGTAAGAAGGAAGGAACGTGAAAGAAGACAAAGAAAGAAAAGAGAAAAGAAAACCAATGAAATGCAAAGATGGGGATAAAGAAGCAGAAAGAAATGAAGGAAGGAAAGAAAGAAAGCAACAAGATAAAGATAACCAAAAGGAAAGGATAACGAACAAAAGAAATTAGTAAAGAAAGAAAAAAGAAAGAAGGAAAGTAAAAAGAGAGAGAGAGAAACAAAGTAAAGAGAATGTTAAAAGAAAGAAATATGGAGATGAGAATAGATAATGAAAGAGATGAAAATAAAGGGAGGTAAAAAAGACAAAAAGGTTAAAGAAATGAGGGCATGAGTACAAAAAATAGAAAAGAAATGGAAGGATGTGAGGAGAAAGAAAAAAGTTAAGTCGAACGATAGAAAAAGGAGGAAAGAAACAAAGAAGATTTGAAGGAAGGAGGAAAAGCAAAAAAGAAAAAAAAAAGAAGGAAAGACTCAGATGAGGATAAGAAAGCCTTAATGAGAAAAGAATAACAGGGATTATTATATAAAAAAAGAAAGAATGAAATGACTACGACAGTAATATGAGGAAGAGAAAATAAACAAAATTACTAAGCATAAAATAAAAATGTAAGATAAACAGAAAGACAGAAAGAAAAAGAAGAAAACGAGAGTAAAAAAGAAGCAAATAAATGAGATTAAAAGAGAGAAAAAAAGAAGAAAAAATAAGCACAGGAGATCAAACGTCTTTTTAGTAGCAACTTAGACATCGCCCCAGAAAAAAGAAAAAGTCTAAGAATAAATGAATAGCGTAAGACGACTAATGTGGCTTGGAATCGAAAAAGGAAACAAGGAAGAGGAAAAGAAAGAAAGAAAAAAGAAGATAGAATGGCAAGAAAGCATGAAAAAGAAATGAATAAACGGAAGTAAGATAAAAAGAACGAATGAAAGTACTACGAAAGAAATATGTTGAAGAGAAAATATAAAAAATAATAAAGTATGATAAAATATAAGAAAGAAAGAAACGGAAACAAAAAAAAAAAGGGAATAAGAAAGAAAGAAAGAAGAAAAGAAATGCGACAAAAAGAGAGAAACATGAAGGAAAAATGAAGAGGGCCAAGAATTTGTTAGAAGAACCTGAAAGAAATCGTCTTTGAAAAATAATTCTTAAAATAAATGAACAGATTAAGACGACAAAAAAGTGACTTACCTAAATTCGAACGCAAGAAAACGAAGGAAGGAAACGAAGAAAGGAAAGAAACAGAATGAAAAGAAGAAAGGTAAGAGGAAAAGGAAGGAAGAAAAAGGAAATACTCAGATAAGGACAAGAAAGCACAAAAGATACATAAAAGAACTAGGACAACTTCAACTGATACCTAGACCGTCTCCAACAGCCTGTACAATGTGTTCTTCATGGTCAGTCGTACAAGCGGGTCTATGTCTTTCTCGATCCATAGCTTGTGGTGTCACGGATCCTATGTCATCAATGCGACGATAAACTGCAGCAAAAGTTGGATGGCTCGGTTGATACGATACAGCCGTGCAGCCACGCGTCTATTTCTTTTCACGCAGCCGTATGTAAAAATCATATTTGCCGGCTAACGATATGAATATCCTGCCATTCTTAAACGGAACATTTATGAGTTAGCTAAATACTACAGACGTTACACGTTAAAGACAGACTAGCCACAAATTTACACTAAAGACAAATGTAACCTAGTCTATAAGGAAACATGTCGCCATCTACCGTAAACTTTCTTTAAACTTAATCACTCAAACCTGAATGATTTGCTGACATATGTTTATATGAAATTTTTGTCCTTGGTGTGATGAACGCGGCCTCAATGTCTGCAAGAGTATTTTTTGATAAACCCCAATATATATATATATATATATATATATATATATATATTTATATAATATAATATATATATATATATATATATATATATATATATATATATATATATATATATTGTTACACGTTACTTAATCCATTTCATAATATATACATACACTGCGTGCCAAATTATTATCGAGATAACTTTTTTTATAATGTTTCAAAAACCGTCTAATCAATTCACACAAAATTTTCACACAATGTTGGCAACACTGATCTGCGCAATCACTGTAATGTTTTACCTGATCTGCGCAATGTAAACAAACTGGCGCTATATTTGTTATCAGCACGGTGATTTGACCGTGCCAAATTATTAGAAAAGTCTAAGAATTTAGTAAATAGATGGGTCATAAAAGCAGTTTAATTGATGCTAAAAAGAAAATTATCAAAGCAGACCTCTCAAAAGGTAAATCTACTCTAGAAATTTCTAAAATGATAGGGAGGTGTCATCAAACAGTGAAAAAGTTCACCGCCGACCCTACACATGTACGCAAAAGGGCAAGGGTTATTTCACGTCGTCTCATGTCACGACTTAAACGAGGTGCCACAAAGAAACCTGGACTTACCATCCAAGAGCTTTTCAGTCGCATTGGGGATCCTACTGTGTCTAAAAGTACTCGGTGTCGGTATCTGAGGGAAATATCAACAACAGTCAAACCTGTATCGAAGACTCCGTTGACGAGAAATCACATTCAAAATCGATTGAAATGGGCCGAGGGCAATATGAAGATTGACTTCTCTAAAGTTTTGTTCACAGACAAAACTCGAGCAACACTTGATGGGCCAGATAGATGGTGCAAAGTCTGGGTAATGAACGGACAGAATCGCCATCAGCGTTTGAGATGCAAACAAGGCGGTGGAGGCATAATGATCTGGGGTGGTATTATTGGAAAAAAATTAGTGGGCCCATGGAGAGTACCAGATGGCGTCAAAATGACTTCTGATGCATACATAGCGTTTATGAAGGAGCATCTTGAACTGTGGATGAAAAGGCAAAGAGTTGCCTTCAGAAGGGCCATTGATTTTATGCAAGATAATGCTCCATCACATGCTACTCACAAGACTACTGAATATTTGAAACAGTTAGGCTTCGATGAACCTCGAAAAATGAAGCGGCCAGCAAATTCTCCGCATTTGAACCCAATCGAAAACCTTTGGAGCATCATGAAGCGAAGACTGTACGCCAACGGACGACAGTTCAGGAGCAACGCTGAGTTGTGGGAAGCAATTCTTGACATATCTCGCGGCATTACAGCAGATGACATCCTACAATTAACAAATTCTATGGATCGTCGTAATTTAAAAACACGGAAAGCAGATTCCCTATGAATTTGTTTAAAACTGTGCCTTTATTTGCATCTGTTATTATTTGTTTGATTATCTTATTTATTAGCTTCTTTTGATCATAAACATTAATGTGCAACACTAATAAACGTTTTGAGTGTTCAATTCTGTAACTTTTACTAAACTTTTCTAATAATTTGGCACGCTCAAATCACCGTACTGATAACAAATATGGCGCCAGTTTGTTTACATTGCGCAAATCAGGTCGAACATTTCAGTGATTGCGCAAGTCAGTGTTGCTAACATTGTGTGAAAATTTTATGTGGATAGATTGCCCATAATTTTGAAATATATAAAAATATATATATATATATATATATATATATATATATATGTGTGTGTATGTGTGTGTATGTGTGTATTATACACAGAATAATATATAATATATTATTACTATTATTTTATCATTGTAATTAAATTTATCTTTTGTATTACCATGTAAATAAATGGACTATATTGGAATATGTATGTATATATATGTTTTTTATGTGTATATATTTCCAATATATATATATATATACATAATAAACAATATTATAATAAATAATAATAATAAAATATTAAAAACATTATATTTTTATTATTATTATTATTATTACTATTAAAATTATTTTTTATTTCAAGTCCGTAAATAAATGGACTGCTCCAATATCTCTACACTACCCGTATAAATATCAATATTTAAAGGAATACTTTTGAGAGGCGGTTTTCAATCAGTACCTGACGATTGCATTGTGCATGAAACTCAGTGTTGTTCTAACGGTGAGGCAAAATCCATATTTATTAATAAACACACATATATATATATATATATATATATATATATATATATATATATATAAATATATATATATAAATTAATATTTAGGTTAAGGTATACTATATTTATGGAAAAAAAAATTTCAGTATCTGGGATAGAGTGTATGTAAATTTAAAATAAGATGAATATTCCATTGACAGTGTCACCTCTTGCTGTTTATCTCGGTGGTCACACAAATATGGGAATTAACTACAGGTAAACGTTTCAAGTGATATATTGATACCGTTTTAGTTAAAGATATATTAAATTTCCTTGTTTAAAACTTTTTAATTTAATATTTTTATTCAATTTGGATCATTTTTCTTGTTTCCATATAAAATGGTGACATAAAATTTCCAAGGACTATTCGGGGCTTTCTCTTGGATAAGCCATCATCCATTGTTTTGTGTTTGTTTTATCAGGAATGTCTTTGTACAAATGTATTGGTATTCTTTGGTAAATTTCTATTGTTAATTTCTTTGGTAAATGTATTAAAAATTCTTTGTTTTTTTCAAATTTTTCAAATAGCGTTATGTTTTTAACTTTTCGTCACTTCATTTAACTATCTTATAATCTCTCCAGTTTTGTTTGTTTTATTTTTAAAAAAAATTCATCCTTAAGTTGTTGAATATATTAGGTAAATTTGCGTCTAAATTGAATGAAAATTTATTGATTCTGGGTTGATTATTTTTTAATGGTGCCGGCAAACTTCCATTTTATTTATATTCGTTTATTATTACAGGAAATATATATATATATATATATATATATATATATATATATATATATATATATATATATATATATATATATATATTTATATATAATATATAATGGAAATTTAAAACAATGAAAGTAATGGGTAATGAAACTGAGAGCTCTCACCAGACATTATTTCCTCTCGGAAACCAGAAGTTTTGTCCAAATAAAAGAAACAAAAATAAAATATATAAATATTTTTTTCAAATAAATTGTATGACCGGTGGCCAGTTATACCCAACAGGTATGACCAGCTGCGGCTGTCAATTTCCTTCGTGATTAACAAGTGAGTATGCATTAAAATAAAACTTTGCTTGATTGTGAAGCTTTTCGTCCTGAAAATGGGGATGCAGTTTCAAATCCATCTGATGGACTCATTGTCTTTTTAAAGATTTCTCGAGTAACCAATGCCGGTGGACTCAATAAATACTGTTTAAAATAAACAGAGTGTCTATTGGAATATGGTTAAATAACATTAATATATATATATATGTTTTATGTGTTTGTTGTGTAAAAAAAATATGAAAACAAAAAACAGTGGTTAAGTATTTATTAAATGTTTCTTGTGTTTTTCTTTTCTGGACATAAATTATATAAACCACAAATTGTCCGAAAGTTCTCTATGCCAGAGTTCTTTCCGACATTCTTTTGACCATTATCCAGCATGATTTTGTTTTTGCTTTAACGAAACTGGAATATATATATATATATATATATATATATATATATATATATATATATATATAAAATTTAAATTATTTAATAAAATTGTAGTTGGCCGAGTATGACAGATTTTAATATATATATATATATATATATATATATATATATATATATATATATATTGAAATAAATTTATAACCGATTATATGATGAATATTTAAATTTTCCTTTTATTTTTTATTATTTATTTATATATATATATATATATATATATATATATATATATTTTTAGCTCTCATCATAGATATAACTTTTTAATATTTTAAATCTCCAACCAACTTTGAAATTTAAATATATATATATATATATATATATATATATATATATATATATATATATATATATTCTTCGCATGAATAAATTTTGAAAAATTAAATGATTTAGAATATTTTTATTATAATCCTTTCCTATTCACGGATATTTTCCGTATATTACAATTTGTGACAAAAATAAACAGACATAATTTTAATGTTTATTATTTTAAATGTTTAAATGCAAACACACACACACGCACATCTGATATGATAACAGGACTCGCATACACAGATACTTGGTGACAGTTTGATTTTGTGCGTCTTTTGGTAATATATGGTCTTGCACGGGGATTTTGGCCGGCATTTTTTAGTAAAAACTATTCGTATTTTATACGCCCTTTTGTGATACTATTGTATCATATTGCATATTGTTAAATGTTTTCTTATATGTTTTCTCCCAAAATTTCAGATTAACACCGTGACCATTTTCAGCTCTTGTGTCTTTTTCTTTCATTCCTATCAGGGATTACTTTTCTAGTCATAGCGTGTGTAAAAAAACTGTCTAATTGATCAGTGGATGCGAGGGCTTTCGGCTAAATCTATTAGATTTTATGAAGTATAGTTTTTATTTACATTATTAGGACTATTGTCCTCATCTTTGTCGCCATATTTATCAAACGTTTCGGCCGTTGTACGCTCGAGCCTTCTTCAGGTGATTGGAATGTCGAACTGAACCCTTTATTTCGCTCACCGGGGTAGACTGTTCTAGTTCCATGTGCCATGTTTGATGGATGTCAGTTATCAGTTATCTCCTGTTAATTTCCCTTTGAAACTTCTCCACTGCCTTAACCGGGTATTGAACTCACACTCTTTGGGTCCTGTCAATGGATCTAACCAACGCCTTTATCTAACCTGTGCCATGTGTCCTTGAGAACATATGTGTAAGAATTTCTGGGTATTATAAACCTAATGTCTTCAGCAGCCATTTTTACCAGTGCTCATATTGCAATTTTGCTGTTATCATTGCATGCTTTTTTTTTTACCAGAGCTCATATTGCAACTATGTTGTTATCATTGCTTTTCTCTGGCACTCCTTATTACTGGTTCCCATATTGTATTTATTTCTATGCTTGGTCGACTCAGGAGATTTTTGTGGCCTAGCATATGTGCTGACTCCTTAAATTTACGAATTTTCCAATGGTGTTCCTTGTCAATGATCTCAACATGATCTCACAGAGGGCGGTGATCTCCCTTCTCTCTCCATATGAGGTCAGCCACGTCTGATTTTTCTACTTCCCCTCGTGTGACAGCTTTCTGGTGTTCTTGAAGCCTTACCTTGAGGGGGCGGCCTGTCTCTCCTTTATATTCCTTTCCACAGCTGCATGGGATAGTCTTTAGTCATGTTATCCTCTATGGAGGGTCTTACTCGGAAAAGATATCTGCGAAGTGTCTTCAAGCTTTTGAAGTTTGTCCTGATGTTATATGGAGCGCAGATCCAACCACCTGAAGAAGGCCGGAGCGTACAACGGCCGAAACATTGTGATAAATATGGCGATAAAGGTGAGGACAATAGTCCGAATAATGTAAATAATGTACATAATACCTCATCTCAGAAATATAGACTGACTCACTATAGTTTTTGTTTAACTGAATATGCAGAATTTAATTTGCATATTTATACACTGTTTTTAATGTTTTTAATATCCAAAAACGGTCAGTACTTATATTAGGAGCCGATCAGTCAAAGCAAGTCGGATGCGAAATGTTGGGACGTACGTTCAAATCCCACTAGAAAGGGCATACGCTTTATTATGAATTTTCGGGTAAGCAGGCCGATAGACGACATAATATTTGATAAACGGAGAATCTACTCAAAATCGAGTATCCACTAGAAATAATGTTTGAAATATATATATTGTTGAGGGATCCACCCTTTTTTATACAAATGGACTCACCCAGTGTATACTTACACTACTGCCAGCGAAGACCCGAGAGAGCAAAACCGAAGAGTCGATTCGAGTCGAGAGTGACAGGAGTAAAAGGTTGTAAGTAACCGGAAGAGTGAGGGTGAGGTAACAGCGGTTTTAAGAGTCACAGTGAGCGAGCACGTAGACTCAGTAAGAAGTCATACAGCGATACTTCTATACCAAAGACTGTATATATATTTTGCTACTAACCCGTATTCCTGGAACTACTAACCTGCTTTACCAGTTTGTATCATTACGTTAATACGTTATTTTCATATATTCATTCGTGACGTTTGTTATTTATTGGTATCAGATTTCAACCCGGAATCCATCATATATATATATATATATATATATATATATATATATATATATATATATATATATATATATATAAGATAAATATAGTCTTAAGATGTGCTATATTTATGGGATAAAAAATCAATATCAGAGATAGAGCGTGTGTAAATATAAAATTGAACATAGATGTCAACACATTTATATATCGACAGTCTGTTTCATGCTAGATTCAATCGTCAGGCCAAAGTTCCTTGTTGCCTGACGATTGCATCTATCATGAAACAATAGACTATCGCCTAAAATGTTGACAAACATATATATATATATATATATATATATATATATATATGTGTGTGTGTGTGTGTGTGTGTGTGTGTGTGTGTGTGTCAATATCATCATGGATTGGCTTCATAAACAAAAGATCAAGAGGGAGTCTGTTCACGTATATTAAGTAAGCCTCTATTGAGATGCTATCTGATGTAGAGACCGTCCCCATCATCAAGATCTTTCGTGGCTTGTTTGAGCATCATGTCAAAGATGATAGGGAAGAGAGCCACTGCTAGAACGCAACACTGCTTTACACTATGATCTAGAAGTGCTTTGAGAGATCATTGTCGTGACTAACTTGGCAGCTAATCCTCATGCAGCTCGTTGATCATATTCAGGAACGTTATAGGGCAGACGAATTGCTTCATGTTCTGCTATATTACTCTTCTACTCACTGTGTCGAATGCTTTTGTCAGGACAACAGATGCCGCATACAGCCCATTGTTCTGCTCCCGACAATTCTGCAGCTGCCGGAGAACAAACACCAACATGTTACGCTCCTGTTGGATCTAAACTCGCACTAACTCTCTGAAAAATGCTCTTAAACGATGGTGGGTACCACTCTATTCAGCAGAATACTTGCAAGGATTTTTTCCTGCGATGGAGAACAGAGTAATCCATTGGTAATTGGAGCAGTCAGTTTTTCCCCATTGTTCATCTACAGGGCAATGACTGCATCGTGAAGATCTTGTGGTAGTTTTTATTTCTGCTCACAGCAACAGTAATTGATCTCTTGGAGTTCATAGGCAACACCGGACTCAGATGATTCCAGATTTCATGTGGGACTCCATCGACTCCTGCTTTGCCACACTTCAACTGCTTTATGGCTTTGATAGTCTCTTCAATGTTGGGCAATTCATCTAGTTACATTTTTACTGGTTGTTGGGGAATGTGGAGAATTTCTGGTTCCTGGACCGAGCGATTAGACCTGAAGAGAAAATGCCCCGATTAACAGATTAGGATGGATGACTTTTTTGTAAAGTGCGTCTGACTGCGCATATGACTACGGACCTGATACACAGAGCCGTAGACTGCCTTTAAAGCTTCATAGAAGCTCATGATGTATACTGTGTTGGCATACAGCTAAGTTTTTTTCACTGAGTCTGATCCACAAGTCGTTCTTAATCTCTTGAATATTGTGCTGGAGGTCACAGCATATTAAACGGATCGCAGCTTTCTTTACAGAACAATCTGGCTGAGTTAAGTGGGCTTGATGAGATGATCTCTTCCTCATCAGCTGTTCTTAGATTTGTACGTTGATATTAAATCTGTCATTGTTCTTCTTTGGGGAGGACATAAGGATTTCTACAAATGTCTTCAGAATGCCAGTTTTGAGTGTTTCAGGAGAGGAATCTATGGAGACGGACTGATCTTCAAGCTTGAAAGTTAAGTGCTGCTTGGAAGTTAACTTTCGCTTCATCTGTTTTAAAACAGCCAATCTTGAACTTTTTACAGATGGTCCTTCATTTTCTTGGTCTCAGTTTAAAGTGGAGCTTGAGTGCGCAGCGAACGAGGCGATAGTCGGTATGACATTCTGTATTGGTCGTCACTTTGGTGAGCATGATGTCTTTCAGATCACACTGGCGCACTATGACATAATCAATGCGGTGCCAATGTTTAGACCAAGTATGCACCCACGTTTTTTTTTCAATCTGTTTTTCTGTTGGAAGATGCTGTTCATGATGACGAGCTGATGCTCTGCGCAGAACTCTAGCAGCAAGCACAGTTACCAATTATTGAAGGCTGCCTTCCTCTGAGAAACCGACTTCACTGAGAGCAACGATGTCAACATTTAGTCTTGGCAGTTCGTTTGCAATTAGTACGAAGCGGCCTTCTGGTCAACCACTGTCGGGTGTGTCTAGCATCATTCTGAAGTTTCAGTATGCGACGTGAAGTCCTTTGATACCCTTACAGGTGGGTGTGAACCTTCTTTTTTTTTTTTTTTTACTGATGTTTGACTGTATGAGAAGAGGCCCGTTGACCGCGGTTAGCCTACTGGGTATTGTAGGAGAAACTTTTTCTAGGCCTCTCTCCATATGTAACAAGCACTATTGTCCCTAGAAAAGGCTGTTTGGTTAATCGCGATGCTGCCGAACGTTGACGTCGTACCGAGGTCAACAACAGACAATCAATATACTGACTCGGCTGCATGCGGGATTGAAACTGTGACTTTCAGTATCATCTTCCACCTCCCGTCCCCCCCTTTCCCATCGCTGCAGGAAATGACTGGTGAACGAGAACGTCTCCTTCAGGTCTGTACAGTGGAGTTTTTAGGTGAAGTGCAATGTCCGCTGAAATGGCAATACACTTAACACCCGGGATAGATCTACCATGGCTTAGCAAGCAGGGAAGAGGAAAGTGACGTCCTCGGGTCGTAGGTTTTACAGTGTCCTCTTAGCCAATGACTGAAAATAAATAAAAGGCAGAGTCCAAGCCTCTCAGGGGAATTGTTCTAGATGGCCTAGGAGCAAAAGTCTTCCTGCTGGGTGACTAGCCACCCTCGTCACAGACAAAACCTGTATGGGTTATCGGTTCAGTCGCCGAAAATGCGACTATGAAACAGTCAGTACTGGGTTACATAGTACCAGTAATGCTAGAAGTGACCTAACCACAAACGTACGCAGACACACACACAAACACGCATACTCACACACACTCACATACACACATTCAAACTCACACACCTATACACACATACAGGCATTCAAACTCACGCACACACTGATACACATACACACACACACACACATATATATATATATAGAGAGAGAAGATATATATATAAAGAGAGCGTGAGTATATATATATATATATATAGATATATATATAAAATGTGTATGTATATAAATATATATATATATATATATATATGCAATTTTTATATATATTATTCATATATTATATATGGGCTTTTGATTATAAATTAAAGCATTTCAATATTATGATAAATCTAAATATATTTAGCATAAAATTGTTATATTTTGTGAAATGCGTTTCACGCTATTTGAGATCATCAGACAAACTCTGACGATCGCAAATAGAATGAAATCCAGAGTCACAAGATCACATCAATATAACTATATATATATATATATATATATATATATATATATACAATTGTATATACCCATTTATCACAGCTTGCCTTTTTATTCAAAACCTATTGCCTACGTCACAACATTCACTAGTTCTACGAGACTTAACATTTACCTCTTCCGACCTGATGATGACTACAAAATAATCGAAAGTTTTGCCCCTTTTTCTTCCGAAATAAACATCTAAGTTCTAACGAAATTTCCTTCTTATTTCAAGGGATTATGAATACAATTTGTTGTAAATCGATCTATAAGTTAATCGATAAAAAACGTCTGTTATCTTTAATAGCATTTGCCTTAAAGTAATTTAAAAATTAAAAAAGTCTCTCTCTCTCTCTCTCTTTTCTCTCTCTATATATATATATATATATATATATATATTTCACACATATATATATATATATATATATATATATATATATATATATATATATATATATATATATATATATATATTTATATATATATATATAAATATATGGATATAGATATATATATATTTTAAATAAATATATAAAAAAAAAAAAATCTTGCAATTATGCTGCAAATTAATGTTAATGTCTAAAATAGAAACCGAAACGTTGTCGTTATTTTTATATTATTGTTAATACATAAAATCGCAAACAATTAAATTTTTAATTTTTGTTTGTTTTTTTTTAAATATTTTTTTAAATATATATATATATATATATATATATATATATATATATATATATATATATATATATATATATATATATAAAAAAAACACATATAAATATAGGTCAAAAAATGAAATTGTTAGAAAATCTGAACAAACTGGTATAGTCTAAAATAAGAATTCGTAAAAATAGCACCTAAAATTTATATTTATTTATAATATGCATTTTGCATTTAAAAATATTAAAATTAAAACTTTATTAATTTAAAAATAATTTTCCTTTTCAATATATATATATATATATATATATATATATATATATATATATATATATATATATATATATATATATATATATATAGTGTTATATATATATATTTGTGTATTTGAAGAAATAGATAGATAGATAGATAGATAGATAGATAGATAGATAGATAGATAGGTGCGACATTTGATTGATATTCATGTAAACTGTGTTATATACAGATTAATATTTTAGAAAAATTAAAATCAAAACAAAAAAACCATTGATACTAAAAAAATGGTGTTGTCGATAATCTTTCTCCGTTGCATTGAACGAACCGAGGCAGCATAAGCGGTTTCACTTCAACTTGATAAATATACCTCATTATCTATGGCAATGAACCATGCACAGTCAAATGGAGTTTCAATCAGTTTAGCATTGTAGAACGAAGGCACATTTCAACTCAAACAATTCCTCACCATCTCAGTCAACCAATTTCTCACATGCTTTTCAGGGTAGCGATTCGCAGTTAACCAAAACTTAAAAAGTTTAAATTAGTGAATTGAAATATATATAAGCCAACGTATCCGAATAAATATATATATAAAAAAAATGACAAGAGGAGACATTTTGGAAAATTATAAAATCCAAATCCTATTCTCGCATTTCTGGCTTTGGTTTGAGAGTTTTAATAGCAAAATAAAAAAAAAAATCAATATGTATTTCTTTTGGTCGCACTTTTGCACGGAACTGAATATATATTGATGCTGTGGGTTGTTTGAATGGAATAATTTTAACTTGGAACGAGAAGGGTTTCCTTTTCTTTTTTGTTATAATTGCTTTCATACAAGTTTTGCTTTTACAGAAATAAATGAAAAGATTTAGGTTTAAAATTAAAAAAATAATAGACTGAGTATCAGTTTGTACACGAAAATAAATTATACAATCTGCATCGACACTTTTTTTTATGCAAATACGATGGTGCTTTCCAAAAGTTAAGCAACAGGAACATTTAGTTAGAAATAAAGAAAAAGACTGCTGTACTCTTAAAGAATATCATTCTTCCGATATAAAATCGAAATATCTACAATGTAATCGATGCTTTTTTGGCATTCTCAAAAAACGTCACATCATGTCTATATCTGTCTTTTTAATAAATATTTTCAAAAAAAATTGCTTTCTTTCTAAACCGAATACGTAATTAAATGTGCTACTAGATTGGCACTACCGTAAATAGGTGTTGAAATAATTAAATATAACCGCCTCTACTAGCTCAAAAGTTTCATTTCTCACACTTCCCGCCTTAGGAACATTTTGCCGTTTACTTGCTTCCTTGATAACTACAATGTTTAAAAATTGTAATGCAATGTCAGTCGCCATCTTCTGTCTTCATGAATCCCGTTCATCGTTTATTCTTTCATCAATCCTCACTTTACTCAGTCCTTTCTCTGTCTTTCACTCTCTGTAAAAGTCGCATTTCCGCCTTGCTTGGGGAGAAATGATAATAAAGAT